TCCACAGACTGACACCAACGCCACCAAGGTCTGGAGGTTTCCAAGCTGCTGAGCAGATGTAGTGTCTTTATAGCAAAGAAGTCATCCTGTGCCACCACATGGCAAAGCAGCAATGGTGCTACATGCGGCAGTGATGGCTGTTTCCTTCATTTTCCGCATCTGTTTGGAAATCAGTTGTGTTGATTTAGTCAGGAAAATGGGGAAAGTGTTTTGGAAACAGCTTTGAAGCAGGACAGGAGGAGAATCACAGAATCACAGAGATCGTCATCACAGGCCACTCGACTGCAGCCACTGCTAAGTGCTCTCCCAGGATGGGCCATGTCCCGAGTGCAGCAGCACCTTGCTGGTGGGTGATGCTGGTTGCACTGGGGCTCTCCCCTGTGCAGGTGCCAGAACCAAGACGCAAGAGAGCAAGCGCGCTGAGTCCAAACCAGCTCAGACATCTCAGCTTGGATTCAGCGGGACCAACACTAAACCAGAGCTGAGAGGCACAGCCAAAGGAATCCTCACTTTTTTTCCCAGCACAGGGCTCCTGTGACCCTCCCAGCAACTCCAAACCCCAGAAACAGAATTGCTGGGCAGATCTGCACTTGCCTTTAGAGCTACGTGTTCAGAGGACCAAGAAGAAGAGCAGGAAGCCTCCATGAAACATTGGTCCCTACCCAGAAAGAGTCCTGGGTTACACAGACACAGCCATTCCTGCTCAGGCTGTAGCGCTGGGTCACAGTACAGGTGGTTGTGCACAAGTGGCCCAAGAAGGGAACTGGACAAGCCCAGGCAATGCTTTCCTCAAGTACTCACCCAGACCCCAGCAACTTGGGGGGGTTCCCACACCCGAGGTGGTTTGCCAGCTTGGTAGCCCTCAACAGATCTTGCCTCTAAGCCACTTCTCCAGCCTTCCCTTCAGCCCACACAAACTTTCCATGGCATCCTTCAGCACAGAGCTGCACAGATGCCTCTCTGATTCTTGATGGACCCTTCCCAGCACCCTTTCCCTCCTCTCCTTTCCTTTAAAAAGCTCCTACCCAGCCCCATCTCAGAGAAGTGCTAATGTGCAGGTTAATGAGGAGTCCCCTTACCCTCCTGTAACCACACAGCTGCTACCAGATACCCACCAGCCTTCTCTGCCACCATTTGCTATTAGAACAGGGTGAAGGAGCAGAGCTGCCTCCTCCCTGAGCCCTGCATCTCCAAATCCTGCAGCAGCAATGAAATCCCAGCCCCTGACATGAGGACTATGAAGCCATTTCAGTAAGACAAATGGTCTTGCTGGGGATTCAGCCTGTCCCTTCTAGGAGTGCCCATTCCATAATCTTATCAGGGAAAAAATTAATAAATAACTTTAATGATGACTCACAGAGATTCATTCCACTTAAACATCACCCCTCAAAAAGCCCCACTTATGAAAGGACATTAATGAGAGTGTGCCAGTTCAGTTCAGCTACATCAATCTGCCTTTATACCCCACGGACCTGTTAATCTGAGTCTGAGACAGCAGTTTAATACATTCATTTAACAAAAGAATCAGCCACTCCACTGGCAATGTCCTCACAAATTACAGCACTGCAGCTCCATCATCCCAATTGACCCCAGAGCCCACCAGTAGCACAGACACATCAGTGGGGTTTCTTTCTCTGGATTAGGTAATCCTCATCAATTTAAGCTGAATGGTGTTTGAGCCATTAATGGGAGAAAATAATCCAAGAGATGGCAAAGCACAAGTTAAATGTTATATACAAGTTACATGGCAGACGGAAAGCACTGAACAGCCTCTGTGGTTTGAGCAGGGCATGGTCCTCTGGCAGTGCTGGGGAAGGAAAGCTATGGCTGAAGGTCACACAACTTGCAGACACACGAAATAAATAAAAGTCATCGTGCTGTCAAGCAGCTGCCACTCCGGGAAAGAGACTGGGTGTCCGCTCTGCCAGAGAAAGAGCCTGCACAGAAACCAGTGCTTGCTTCTCACTGGAACCACAGGCTTCAACCTCTATTTCGTTGGCTTTAGTCTTTGATAAGCAACATGTTATGAGGTGTATAGGCTACAAAGGGCTGCATGTGCTGTATATGCTAGCCACACGGCATCACTGGAAGGGGATAGTGACTGCAGGGAGGGTGTGAGTGTAACAGCTGCTGGAAAACAGCCCGAGACTTGATTGTACCTCAGATCCAGTCTTCATTTGGCATCAGCTAAACTCTTAAAAAATAAAAAATTAAAAAAAAACACCCAAAGAAGGAAGTGAGACCTTGTGCTTGGCTGTGATAGTTGTTTCCCAGCCTGGTCACAGTGTCAGGGGAAGGTTTCTGCCTGCACCATGCCAGCCTGTCGAGCTGCAGCCCACAGCCCATGACTGTGCCAAAAGGGTTTGCAAAGTGTTTCCTCACAAATGCATTTGGGCTTCTGAATAAAAGCCCAGATGCTGTTTATGCTGTTCTCTAGCATCTCGGTGCACTATATTTTTTAAAAATCATTTGAATCAAAGCTCTCATTCTTTAATTAAACTTCATTTAGCTGCCATCTGCCTGGGATCAAAATGGTTTCATGTTTTGCAACTCTTAATGAGGATTGTTATTGGATTTGTAAACACTTAAACAAACAAACAAAAAACCCCAACACCAAAGTCTTTGAAAAGTAATAAATGAGGAACGTGGCTCAAGTGTTAAGATCTGCATCTTCACTCGTCTAATTGTACTGGAGCGGATCCCATTCAGCAGATAATCATGTTATATACAAAAACTCTGTATAAAAATACCCAGCAACTGCATGACTGAGATTAGGGAAGCTGCGACAATTACAGCTGAGGGACAACAGTAATAAAGCTGCATCTGTCCTTTTTCCAAAGTGAAAGGGTCAGTTCTCCTGGGTCACACACGAACACAGGCACCGAGAGTGGGAGTTTCCCACCCCGGCCACGGCAAATGAGAAGTGGATATTGTGGCCCTGAAACTCCCGAAAATTACAGCAGGAACTACTGCTATTCACTCCCAAAAAGATATGTGTTACCAGAACCCAGCAGCCTCAAACCCAGCGTGGGGACTCTGGAGATGCCAGGTGGCCATGGAGCTTCCCAGCCGAGCAGATGGGGCAGGGCAGGAGCTGTTCCTTGGGGGACTCCCATTCCCCTCCCACATTTATAGCCTTTACAATTGCATTTGGCTTTCTGAACTAAATCATTAGTCCCCAGCGTAGCTCCCATGCCCTAATTTAACTCTACTGCCTCCATCCCCCCCCAGCAGCTGTAATTAGGGTCCCGCGCTGGGCGCAGTGCTCCAGCCCCTCACTCTACAAGCAGCCTCCCCCCCACCGCCGGCGTCTTCATGGGATGCAGGGACCGACAGCAAACATGGGGCAGCCTCAAACATCTCCACTCATTACCCAGCCACGCTGCTGCCTTCAATGCTACGGCATCAGGCCTTTTTTTTAATGGCAAACAAAGTCAAAATATGATGAGTGTGCCCTCTCAGAAGACAGCTACTCAGTGGGAATTGATCTGTGAATAAGCCCCTTTCAGACATTTTGGAAGAGAAAATTGTATTTTTACCTCTGAATCATGTTCCTTTTTTTCCTAATTGGAGATGCCACAGGTTTTGAGCAACAGGCAGAAAAATGAAAGACTTCAGATTTTGATGCCAACCGCTCAGATGTCAAACTCTATTTCTAATCGGGGTTGCTGACACAGATCTCCGCCCTTATTTTAGATGCTGCCTTTGTGCTGTTTCCTACACTTGTTTGGGCTTTTATCATCTCATGTGATCATCTGCATCTAACTCCACAGCAAATGCAAGTCCAGAGCCGGGGAATAAACCTGCAGCTGTCTTGAAATGCTTCTGCCCACCATCAAATCCCTTTGGTGGACTGAAAACACCAGGATTTGAACAGATCAAAATCCCATAGGACAAATAAAACAGTGCATTGCAGTTGGAAAAGCTGTCACGAGTGACTTTGATCCTGCGTCTGCTACTGTCCACCCTCCAGCAGACCATGGTCATGGCTTTCAGGGCAGGTTTGTTCCGTGGAAGGGCCAAGACTCTCCTGACACCCAGCAACAGTCATCCCACAGTGACACCATGCATTGCTGCTGGGTATGACACCAGGGCCACAAGCCCCAGGGCACCTCGCTTCACTGGGGGCTGCATTTACCTACATGCAAACCAGGATGTTTCTCTTCACTGGTTTCTCACACCAGGATTAGCTCCTGCCATGTCTCGCCTGGGTACAGCTCTCAGGGGACACAAAGCACAAGTTAAATCTGTGTGGGGGTCAGCAAGAGCGGTCAGCGCCGTTCACTTCTGCTGTCAAACTACCAGAGGAATGAAAGTAAAATTGCAGAAATTTCAAATAACACCCCTCGATTTACTGAGTTGCTTTGTAGGTGGGGTGAAGCAGACCAGGGTGCTTCCTCTGATGCTCTCAGCAACGCCACTCGCAGCTCAGATTCCACTCGGAATCAGTGGGGCATCATTGGAATCAGCCTGCACTCACTGTGGGAGCTTCCCCCCAGTAAGGCATCAAAACCTCTTAGAAAATCATAAATAGTCAATAACTTCACAGAATGAAGATTTCCTGGTTTAGCAGCCGGTTAAACGCATGCAATCAAAATTGCTTCTGTGCCTTTCAAAGCCTGGGGTGGCAGGAGGCCAGACAGGAGAGGGCTTGGGGATGGGTTTTGCTCCTTGCAGGGGCTGAAATCTCCCTTCCCACTTTAAATTTGCTCCTGCTCCAGAGTCAAGAGGACTGGCAGGCCAGGTCTCCCTCATCTGTCACAGCACTGCAGTTTGGTACCACTCTTCCTGCAGCTCTGCAAGTAAATGTTTATGCCCTTCATCTGTGTTGAGGATATCAGGGGCAAATAAAGCATTAAAACCTGTCAAACCTCTTGCTTTCAAGCACTGGGGACACTAAGGATTTTATTGAGCAGTGAGGTCTGTCCGGGGGTGTCCTCCTGCACTTACTCTTACCTATCAGTGCTATTTATCGATAACATATGTAATAAAATAAGTACTTTTAAGAGCAAGGCAACACTTTATATTTTTATTTAAAAAGGCCTTGATGGCAGGAATATAGTGTAAAAATCATTGGAAAAACTAAAAGGCATTGATACATATTGGAATATACACTTTTTACATAAATTACATTTATTTATTTATTCTTTCATTTGAGGTTCTTATTCGGTATTGAGGTCTAATAGTTAATAGGTCCTGGGATCTGGACGTTTAGACCACCATAGTCTAACATGTACATGTTCATGGGCCATTGCTGAAAGAGAGGGAGAGAAAAAGAAGGCAGAAGTCTCTGTTAGGACACAACACAACACCATGCATACAACAAATCTCTGACATGTTCCAACGTGGGCTGTTGCTCCCACTTTCCAAATAAGATAAAAGAACCATCCCCAAACCAAAACACCGCCGGCAAACCTGACAAAAAAAAATCCACCTCCTAAGTTTACATTTCTTGTGCTTCTTTTAAAATTATTATTTTAAAAGCACTTGGGATCATCCACAACCGAAGTAAAGCCCTGAGGGAGAGCAGTTGGCTGCATCTCCCCGATTTAGTTTCCTGTTTTCACAGTTCGGATAAAGGCCAGAGCTCTGAATCACTTCTGGGACAGCTCAGAGCAGGGGGAACCCGTGGGTCCTCCCAAAAGGTGCCACGGGGCCTAGGCGTCGCCGCCAGCACCGGTGTTTTAACCCAGTGTGGTCGGGGGATTTGCTTGTGCTGGTCTCGTGTGTGGCTCCTGCTAACGCTGAGCATCCCCTTGGCGCTCGGAGGGACTGATGTGGGAGAGCCCCACTTTGCTCTGCTGACTTCCCTCAAACTCAACAGGAAAAGGAACCCCCAAAGCTGTGGCCCCTCCTTCACCAAACCTGCTCGTGCTATTTTATGTCACACTCTACAGTGTTTGTCAGGCGGAGGGAGGTGGTGGTGGTTCGAGAAGAGCAGAGAGCAGCATCCTGAGGCAGAAAGATAGGTAGGCAGTAACCCCCCTAATATTTGGAAGGCTTTACCACAAGTGAGATCTGATTTGTTGATGATGTAGACTCCATATTGGAAGAGGAGGAAGAGGAAGATGAGGAAGAGGAAGATACCGAGTTCCCTTCGGAGATCCTCTTCCGCTTCCGTTTGGGAACGCTGGTGTCCTTCTCTGTGGGGAGAGAGGGAAGCCATGAGATGTCTGAGCCCTGTGAGCTGCCCCTAAATGTGGGACATACCCTGCTGCTCTGACCTCACCTTCCCCTGACCATCCCCCTGCAGTGATCTGTTGTGTTGCTGCTGGTGACACAGCCTTGGCCTCCACAACCTAGCATGGACCTGCCAGCTTTGCTCAGGCACCAGTGAAGAAAATCTCCAAAATAAGCAAATCCCAAACTCTAGCACTTACAGGGCCCAATATTCCACGGACTTGTGTCTGCGCTGAAGGGTTTGGGGCTGTGAAGGTGTTACCTGCAATGACAATATCCCCATATACATCTCCATATATGATATCCCTATATGATATCTGCATATGTAAAGTTTCTTGTGCATCTCTTTTACTTCTTATCACAGGTGTGCTCTTGCTTGACTGCATCTGCAATATTGTGTTCAGTTCTGGGCCCCTCAGTTCAAGAAGGACGGGAACTGCTGGAGAGAGTCCAGTGCAGGGGCGCAAAGATGCTGGAGGGAGTGGAGCATCTCCTGCTGAGGAGCGGCTGAGGGAGCTGGGGCTCTTGAGCTTGGAGCAGAGGAGACTGAGGGGTGCCCTCCTTCATGGGGATCCATTTGGAAAGGGCAGTGTCAGGAGGAAGGAGCCAGGCTCTGCTCTGGGATGTCCAATGGCAGGACAAGGGGCAATGGTCCCAAGCTGGAGCACAGGAGGTTCAAGCTGAACATGAGGACAGACTTTGTCAGCGGGAGGGTGCCAGAGCATGGCCCAGGCTGCCCAGAGAGGTTGTGGAGTCTCCTTCTCTGCAGACATTCAAAACCCCCCTGGCCGTGTTCTTGTGTGACCTGGTCTGGTGATCCTGCTCTGGCAGGGGTTGGACTGGGGGAGCTTTCTAGGTCCCTTCTAACTCCTGATATTCTGTGATTCTGTGTGATTCTGTGATCTCCCTTACCTAGCCACATATTTTCATAAAACGAATAGGTTCCTAATTATCTCTGGGGCTGCTAATTCTGATACATTTGATTAAAACTGGCTGGGATTTAGCGGGGAGGATGGGACAGAGAGAGAAACACGTTCACAGTGATCACAGAAGCCTTGTTTCCTTAGAAGCTCAACTGCTAAATGATGGCTCAAATTAAGGTCTTTAACAAGTGAATAGATTGCTCATGGTGAGTAAACTGCTAATGGGAAAGCGATAATCAAATCCTCCAGAATATGATGGAAGTTTGAGTCTAACAGCCCAGTATTTCTAAGAGGATGGTTTGCTCCTGATCAGATGGTGAACCTGACTTTTCTTTTTCCAGGCAGGATTTTCTCCCCAGCCTCTGCTGCAGGGCAGAGAAAGCCACGGTTATTCCTCAGCCCTCCCCTTACCTGTTTGTTTGGCCTCAGTGCAGATTTCGGCAAATGGCCTGCATAAGAGACAAGGGGGTGAGAGCAGGTGGATGCTGTTGATCTCCCCTATGTGCCTGCCCACGCTGGGACATGGCCCAGACCCCGACCCCGGGATGCCTCCTCTGACACCCCCCTGCGCAGAGATTGGACACGGAGCCTCCTCACCGATCTCTGGAGGGAAACAACCCAAAATAACTCAGCTGGGTCTCTGAGCTGTCCCACTGCCTGTCCCCATGTCATGCCCCTTCCCAGCATCATCATCATCTGGTCATGGTTGGACTCAATAATCTTAAAGGACTCTTCCAACCAAATGATTCTATGATCTCCAACTGCGCAGGAAAGAAGGGATAAACCAGCCCCTCTGACGCTTTGCTGTGCCCACCTATGGCTGAGCACCTCCCTGTGCCACAGGACAGCGGGTGCTGGGGATGGAGCGGGTCCTCTGCGGGTGTGTGGGGGTTTGGCCCTGCTCCAGTGGCCCCACGGTGACTTACCCCACTCGCGGCTGGAGAAGCAAGAGCAACACTTAACAAACAGAAACCTTCCCCAGTCGCAGAGCTTGGGGAACTTACTGGAGCTGGTTTATAATCACCATCCGGATGCTCTCGCGTGCCTTCAGGATCTTCTCCAGCCGATGGATGTCGTAGGTATTGGGGTTTCTGAAAGGGATATCATCTGGCAGCCCGGTAACCTCCACGGCGTCAGGACTGTCCCTGATGAGTTTATATGGCACCATGACAGGCCGGTTCAAGCCCAGAGCCTCTCCTGTAACGGCAAAGCAGAGGACAATGCACTGGCTTTACCCCACAGGGCTCTGGATCCAACCAAGAGAAGGACCAAGAGTCCTGGGAGGATTTGGGGAAGTCACAGCTGCCCTGATGCCCGACCTTTGCTGCAGCCATGTCTCACCCAGCCATTTCACATCTGCCTGCCCCATTTATCGCCTGCTCCATTAGTTAGGACATGCATACCCACCTCTCCTATGGCAGTGAAATATCACAATTTAATTACTTGTTGTATTAAAAGTACTTCCTTCTGCATGATTTAAACCTGCTGCCCGCCTCTCTGGGTACCCCTTTAGCTCCTGCATGGTGGGCAGCAATGAATATCCTCCCTTCTGTGCTTGTCCTGGTTGTAAGAACCTGCTCTCTCCTCACGCCTCTGCAGCCCCTAAACCAGGTGTGAGCTGCCCCTGAGCTGCATTTCTGGCTTTTCCTCACAAGGAGTTCATCCCTGGAGCCCACTGGGTACCTTGTGCTCCATCAACAGTGGCAGGACTGTGGGAACGCAGGGATCTGCTGTGGGCTCAGCTCCCACATGGGGCGAGTGCTGCTGAGTTGGGTGGGTGGGGATGCACAGAGCACAGGGACTGGGTTCCCTGGGGAGCTGCTGTGCCCGAGTGCTGGCACCTCCAAGGAGGCAAATCTTCCCCCAAAGCAGCCCACAGCTCACGCTGCAAGCAACATCCTAAAATAAAGAGGATTAGCAGAGAGGACGAGCAGCCTTGACAAGGGGAGATGAGAACAGAGAGGAATGACATTTCCCACTGCTTTGCTACCATTTTGGCTATTCTCCTTCTGCTTCAAACACTTATTTTGGGGAGAGCCACAAGACCCCGCACTGAAGCAGTGGGGTGCCACTGAGCTGCCATGGTGTGGCTCCACAGTCCTTGGGAGTCATGAGGTGAGAAATAACCCCCAGCCCTTAGGCAAGCTGTGCCCCATTGGCAGTGAGGGGACAGCCAGGACCTTGCCGGTGGGGCTGGGAGGGTGACACTGCTTGGGCCCCATGTCCTGCAGCTGCTGTTCCCAGCACTGGGTGGAAGGAGGGGTTTGCCAGGCAGCACAGGGAGCCTGAAACAGCACTTTCAGATCTTCTCCAGTCTCCTGACCTCCTTTTCTGCCATGGCTCTGGCGAGCTTTTCACCAGCCGTATGAAAATACTCACCATATTTTTCATTGAAAAGCTCTTTCACTTGCTCTCGGAGAATCACCTTCTCCCCGAGCCTGTTGGCATCGTCCTCATCTGCAAAGGAAAAAACGAACAGGGAATAAAATAGCCTGCTTCCTTCTGAGCCCCTGGAAAACCCATCCTGCTGTCACAAGGCACAACCGCATCGCTGCCCCTCTGCCCCAGCATGGTGTGGGGACACTGCAGAGGTGGCTGCTCCACACTTGCGCCTTGTGTCGCCTTTTGGAGCCGTGCAAAGTAGCCATAAAGTGCTGCCAAATCTGCATTTGCCACGCACTGCTACGGCTGAGAGCATTTTGCATCCACTTTGCGGTGCTGTAAATGACTGCAAAATATGCAAAGCAACAGAGATTCAGGCCCTCAGTGCCATGAATGCTCCCACAAGTGATATCAAGGAACGAGATAGCACTTTTATAGCTGGGCTCCTAAGTACAGTATTGTTTTATAATATGCCATATAATCAGCTTGGCTTTACTAGCTTTTTTAATTATCCTCGTTGTGCCAAACAGTTTCTCCTCCATTCTCACGTTTCAAACGACGTGCTTATGTCAGTAGATTCCCCCCTCCCCCAGCTATTCAGGATCCTCAGGGGGCTCCAGGAAAAAATGACTGGGGTCACCACCGGCCCCTTTTGATGCTTTTTCACCCCACAGGTACAACGCAACAATGGAAGGAACCTTATCTGCCTCCCACAGGGTCACTGCTCCGGCCCCAAGCCTGCTGGTGGAGTCTCCTGCTGGAGAGGAGCCATCACCACCACGAGCCGAGCCTCACCCAACGTGGGCATTTTCACCCAGGCTGGCACACCACGGGCTGGGAATCTGGGATGGTTATTTTACAGCACCAAGGTGACCCCTGCAAACCTTGGCATGAGGGACTGCAGCATCCTCTGCCCCCCTGTCAGCATCTGTTTCGATTTTGATTTTCAGCAATCACACCATTTTTGTTCAGATTTTGAGGCACCATGTGATTTTGATTTTGGTTTTAAGCAATCACGTGGCTTGCAGTTTTGTTTAAAATGCAAGCTGAAAACCTGCTGCGAGTCCCTGCCTCCCTGCGTGGGGCCCTAGAGCCCAGCATCCCCAGCAGAAATCGCACGCCTCGGCCACCCTCTGCTGAAGGTCCTGGAGAGAAACCAGCACCCTTAAATCTCCGCACCCTGCTACTGCAGGGGACGGCCTCTTCTCCACCTGGAAAACAATACTTGTGTCTGGATATAACTAGGAAAAAAAGAGAGGCATTTCTGCAAAGGAACCTGATGGCTAAGTTGTGCTTCAAACCCAGAAATGGCACAAAGCAGCTTGAAAGGGATGGAGGAAAAAATAAATAAAACGGAAGAAATTAAAATAAACATTGTCAAGGAGCTCTGATTTCAAGAACTAAGACCTCGCCTTGTGGTGCCTCTCCCGGGGCCGTGGCAGGGGCAAACCCTCTGTGACTTCCTTGTCATTGATGCTCAGTTTCGGGGCTGTATATACACACCCACGTGGACGTGTAGATGGTAGCAGACAAAGAGACACCAAAATGTAGCGTTTAATTCTCTGGGACTGAAAAATGCAGCAGCTCTTTCCCTTCCACTCATGCTCCAAGCACAAGAAACCAGATCTCAAGAGGGCTTTGTCCCACCTTGCAGTGGGCAGGACTCCCAAATTCCTATCCAAGGACACAAAAAAATGCCACGAAAAACCTGGAACTGAGCATGCATAACAGAGAAGCCAGAGAGGCGGCTCTGGCCAGTTGGCACCACTTCCTGGGGACTTGCCCCTTCATCCCCAGGTGGCTCCGGGCAATTCTACCTTTGAATGTAGATGTTTGGGTTTGGGAAACAATCCAGGAAGCCACCGGCACCCTTGGGATGTGTCCCCTAAAGCAGGTTTCTGCATGCTGCTGGCTTCAGCTCTGTGCTCTCACATTTAATTCTTTTTGATTATTATTATTTTAAAAAGTAGCCAGCTGATTTACTTTTTCTTTCCAGTCCTGCTTGTCTGAAGCGAGGAGCCTCATTCTCTCCACAGACACTTAAACACACACGCCATCACGTGTTTAAAACTCCATTTGCTCTTTTCCAATAGGACTTGTCAGAGCTCGACTGTTTGTTTAGAAATGCCAAGTTGTATTTAGTAATTAGTATTTAGTAATTATTAAATGAGGTTTAGGCATCAGCTATTGGACAAGGGGATCCAAAACACCACCTGTTTTTCTCGAGACTCTAATAAAACACAACAACAGCAAATCCAAGGTATCCCATGGACAAATAAGGGCTCTGTCTGTGTTCGCGATGCTCTGATCTTGGTGGTGAAGCCACGGCACGGCCAGGCAGGTGGAGCTTTCCTCCTTCCCACGCCACTGCCAGCATCCCAGGATGCTGCTCCTGGCAATGCACGTCCTCCACCCGGCCACTGCGCTTGGAGTAACAACCTTCCATTATCTAAATCCCCACATGAAGCCTGTTTCATCAGGAAAACAGCCCCTGCCCCACGCATCCCACTGGGACAGCAGCTCTGGTCCCTTCTCCAAGCAAACCCAGTCATGACAAAGACCCACCCAGCTGGGCCAGCCTGCTCAGAGCGGTCAGGATCCAGCCCTGAATCTGAAGAGGATGAACACATGCCTCTTCCCCGCTTCCAGCTTCAGTGGGTGCCATTCAGTTACACCCCGGTGTAAACCCAGAATAAGCCCTGTGACTTTACCGAGGCTACTCCACTGCAACTCAGGTTTAAATACAGCTCAGATCAGCTCAGCATAGGCAATGTTTGTGAAGCGGAGCTATAAACTTGCGGGAGCAGGCAATTCACAGCCAGGCAGGCAGAATCCCAGCTGGTGAGACTAAGGCTGGATCTGCTGGAAAAAAGCCATGTGCTCCTCTTTACTCCTGTAAATTAGTATATATGTTAAATCCCGGAGCCTACATGACTACACACCAACTCTAGCCCAGAGCATGTGTTAAAGCAAAGCAAAAAATTTCCAACCCAAATCTGTGCAAGAGCTCCTTAGGATAAAAATCCAAGTGGATTTTTAACAAATTAATTGCTCGGACACATGGATGAGCTGAGGATAACGTGGCCAGGTGGTTTGTCTGGAGCCGAACCGGCACCGACGCCCAGGGACTGCAGCAATGGTGCTTAGAAATGCAGAGAGGATTAGTAACAACAATAAAATACTGTTAAACACATCCTGCATCATTCAGTTCTTGGCATCACAGGGAAACAGCAGAGAGGAAAGAAAATACCTGAAATTTGGGGGTTTAAGACATTTTCATTCCCATATTAAAATGCAAGTGCATTTCTTGTCTGCTACCATCTACGATGCATCAACTGAGCTACGTACCATTCAAGGCAGCGTAGGCTTTTTCCAATGATGTTATCCGTCTAGGGGCTACAGCGCAAGTTAAAAAAAGACAAAAAAAAAAGAGAGAGAGAAAGAAAAAGAGAGCCATGAGTGCTGCAGCTTGGTTTCTTGGTCACAAACAAAAACAAAACCCAGGATGACTCTGTCCCTAGCAGCTTAGAATTCCTCCAGTCCCAAGGCTCCTTGGCACAGAGATGTTTTCGATAGATAAATAACTGCCTGGTGAGCTCCACTGCGCACCAGGGACCCATTTTGGGATGTGCTCGAGCCTCTGAGCATCCCTTGAGCTGTGCTGCACTCCTGAGCAGCTCAAGGTCCGCCTGGGGATGCGCAGCCAGATTGCAGCATTTACAGCACGCACCAAAGCCGCAGCAGTTGCGCCAGAGGAGAAAAAAAAATGTCTGAAGTTAAAGCAGACGAAAAGCAAACGGGGAAACTGTGTCTGTGTTAGACATGGGAGAAAAAGGGATTCCTAAGGAGAGGCTGGTGCTTGCCACTGATTCCAAAGTGACTAGCAATATCAAAAAGAAATTAATTTCCTGGGGAAAAGCAGCAGCAATGGGGCTAAGGACCAGGATTTGCAGGATGGGCAAAAGGAGGAATGAGGCAGCTCATCACGCTGAAGCTGGGAGCTATGGAGAGAGCTGGTGGGGGGAAACAGGGGCTGCGGGTCACACCATGGGGGAGAGGAAGGGGCTTAGCAGGGAGTCTCCTGCTGCCAAACTGCAGCACGCAGGCACCAGCAAAGTAGAGGGGATATGGGGAGAAAGCAGGGGTGCATGTCTGAATTTGCTGAGCAGAGATATAAGTGATCTGAAGCAGCTCAAAATATGCATCGAACATTTCAAGCAGGCTCAGGAAAGCAGCCACTGCAGCCCTTTGGTTCAGTGGCACCCAAGGAACAGAAAAATACAGGGTTTTGCACAGGGTGACAAGAATTTGGTGCAGACCATGGTGAGTTGGGGCACCGAGCCGGACCCTGCACCGCATGGGCTGAGGGCGAACAAATCCTGCTGTAATCACTGCTGTGCAGCAGGACCAGCCATAAAATCAGTGATGCTGCCTGTAGCCTGGTTCCCTGACCCACACTCTGCCCACACGGACATCCTGTGGGCAGCACCCACCACGCAAAATGTTTAGTCAAGTATGCGATGCAAAGGGGGGGGAGGCGCAGAAGGGTGACAGCAGCACTGGGAAAGGCAAGCTGGGGTCCAAGCCAAGAGGGAACAGGGTCCTGGCACAGCTCCCGTCGAGGAGGAATGCAGGCAGGAGCGGGCAAAGGGCAGGCAGGCAGGCAGCGAGGAAGAGAAGCACATGTTAGCATCTTTCCCAGATGAATCAGAAAAGGTTTCAGAAGGGCAGCGCAGCACTTCATTTAGTGGGCAGCAATTCACAAGGCATTTTCAGTGCTTCAGGTGAAGTCTTCAATGTGCTGTTACGAAATCACGCTGATTAAGAATCATAATTATTTTTTTTGACCTGGTAACCCATGTGTGCTGCTCAGCTGTAGCCATGGGAGGCACCTGTCCCACCAGGCTCACACTGCGGTGCTGTGAGGTATGGAGCACTTCCCTAAGTGCCAGACCACAACTGGGATGGAGCAGCACCCGTGTTGCCATGCGATGAGCACCCTGAAAAACAGGGTCTTGGGGTCTCTGAAGGACATGGCAGGATATGAAGCTGGTGGGGAGCAGGAGAGAGGCAAGAACTAAGCAAGCAGAAGAGCTGGGGTGAGCTAGGTGACAGTGCTGCCTTCTCATTGGCGCAAGGATGCCACACATGCAGGTGAAATGGAAAAGGAGACAAAAAGTAGGCAAAGGAAAAGGTGATTGGAATCGCAGAGATGCTTATACACAGGCTTTGAAGCACCACAGCTATTCACATTACCTGCTTGAATTTTCACCTTCAGACTAGAAACACTGACCAGCTGAACATTAAAAAATAATTCAGCCCAGATAACAGGAAGGTGGATCAGAAGGAAAAATAACCTGGCTGCTCCCACGGGGGTCCAACATCAGGGCTGGGGGTGAAGCGACCTCAAAAAGTGACTTGGTGATGGAGCAAGACGCACTCAGCTCCCTCACTGCCTCCCTTTCCCTTTTTTCTTGCTGTGAGTTTCCAGCATGAGGCACATCTCATCAAAGTCCTGAGGAGGACTGTGCTCTTGTGATTAAAAAAAATAAAAATATATATATATAGAGAGAGAGAGAGAGAAAGGATGCCTGGATGTGTGGTTTTTTTAATTAAAGAACACTGCCTGCCCTACTTTATTAATTGGAGTGTGGCAAATAATCTATCAGGGTGGTAGGGAGTTTGGGAAATAGGACAGATGGAGCTCGTGTACATTTTCAATCAAAGCACAAAAATTAACATACAGAAAGATTTTGTGTGTGTGTGCTACATTACTTATGTTTGATACTTTTTTTTTTCCCACAGGCTCAAATTAAGCCTGTTTTGTATCTCTGTGCCTCAGGAAAGAAGAAAAGAAAGGCTAAGTGCTGTGTTTATCGCGCTGGAGCTTCACCCCTGCTCGCTCACTTCTGGTTTAATGCTGAAAGATCATTCTGCTTTCAAACAGGGGTTTTCTTGCTTTTTTTTTCCATGTAGCAGAGACCAGCAGTGAGGAGAAAAGAAACTGGAAATGAAAAGGAAAAATCTCAGGCTGCCAGGAGGGCTGTGCTCCTGGGTCAAAGCTCCTGGGGACAGCGATGGCAGAGGCACCAGTGAGCTTGGGGCCACTGCCCCACATTCAAAAGGCTCCAAATCTGCACTGCAGAAGGTGGCTGCAGCCCCTGACCTCCTCCAGGTGCTGGCCAGCTTTCTTTTTCCAAAAACCAGCCTGATTCTCCCCAAAAAGCCACCTCCTTCTGCAAAAAGCATCCCCGCAGGCATGCACCCCTCAGCTGCCTCTGTGCCGACAGCCTCACCTCTGCACTGCGACCCACTAGGGGGGAAATACCACCTCAACAGAGAAATTAGGGACCATCTTGAGAAAATGCACACTTGGTGCTCAGATTATATTGAAATCCTTTTAACTGTTTCTGTCGCACTTAAAAAATGGGCGTCCCCAAAAGCGGGAGATAAGGAGGCCGCGGTCCAGCAGTTATCTGGGATGCTCTTTGCAATGCAGGAGGTGCACAACTTGTTAAAAGGAAATTACACCCTGTAATTTAACCTAAAGGCAACTAAAATAACTCCAAAGTGATTTTAAAAAAAAGCTAACTTTCCCTTTTCCCATAAAATGTGCACCTCTCGTGTCATTTTTGGCCACAATGATCCACAAAAACCATAACTTCCCTTATATTTATACAGTCATCTCCTGGACTTTCCAGCTTTTAGATGCTTTTGCAATGCCACCCTGCTTGGGAGTAACTATCTTTTTCATTTTAATGCTCCTCTGCGAAATAAAAGATCAATTCATTGATTTTGTTTTAACGCCAAGCACGCACTTCTGCTGCTGCTCTTCATTTTACATGGCAGGACTTTACTACACAAGATTGAGGTAGAAAGAACACCCTTAAATTTAAATTTTTAATGATCTGGGGCTAGCTGGAAATCATTAACTTTGTTAAGGCAGATGAAAAGCGATCAAAGCCAAGGCAGTGAATGTACCACTGCGATGCCACCATTCACTTGGGGGTTAGGGGGTGGAAAAGCAGACAGGAGGTTAATTGCTGGCAATGGGGATGTTTTAGAGGGCAAAATATAAACAGCCTTTTTCTCAAGGAGATGTTCCAGCGGCAGGCTGACTACTTGAAAATAATGGTAAGTCCTGGAACTGTCTATGAAGATTTAACAAACAGTCTATAACAAACTGACATGTCAAGGAAGAAAAAACCCTCACCTGCATCTGCCCTTATTTAAAAGGGAGGAGAGGGCACTAAGCCCCGAGCCTAGCAAGGATACTGCAACCCCCTCCCGAGCGCAGTCGGGTACCACAATACACAGAATAAAATATGTCTTTGGGTTTGTGCTAGCATGGGCCAGCCCGTGGTGGGAGAATTCAGCTGGAGAAGGAGGGGGGAAAAAAAGTGTTGTGTATCGAAAAGAAAATCAATTTCCTCTACATCTCTATTTATCAGGCTGCATTTCCCAGCCAGCTGGCAGGTTAAAGTATTTGTCTTCTGATGTGCTCCTTTGTTAATGGTGTGATTTGTGTCAGATCAGCGTCTCTAAATGTAATTATACCGATTACGGTGGAAGAACAGGAAGACAAGATGTGGCTGGGGGAGCAGATACAGCCTTGGCTCGCTCCGGTGCTGTAGCCATGTCATTCCGTGGAAAACCAGAGTTCTGCAAGACTTGCATTTCATCGAGGGCTTGCTTAAGGTTCAGCCAATGTGAGCTGGCACCTCGATGCTTAGGACCAAAAGCTAGGAAGTCTGAACCCAAAATCCACAGAGGTCTCAGGGACCTCCCCATCAACTTGGCCAGGCTGAGCACAGGGTCCACACTCAGATCATGCCTTGGGTTGAATTTCTCAGACCACTTGCCTTTTGTTAGAGCCCTCTCAAGTGTCTAACACCTTTCCACTGTTCCCAATAAAGGCATATAAATGTTTTCCTCTCTGTCATATTTGTCTTCCTTAAATTATGCCATCCCCATGGAGACTGGCCAAGGAAATGGGAAGCCATCAATAAAGACGACAATGGTTTTTGCACCCATCTGTGCTCTTCCAACAGTTGTAATTACAGACATTTAAAACCGAGACAGGTTTTTACCCATGTTTCTGATGGCAGCTTGCTTTTCTGGGCAGCCTAGAAGCGACAAACAGAGCTAGGCAGCGATGTATGGGGAAGGTCACGGCTCCACAACAGTGATTTCTGCCGTTGGGTCTGGACCCCATCCTGGACACTCTGTCCTCCCCTCTCCCACGTCTCCTCCAGTGTGTCCACATGTGGAATGCCCATGAGCTGGCAAGGGCTTTCACTGGACCCTCTGGTTAATCACCCTCTTCCCACGACCCTCCTTTACCACTGAACCTGCCAGCTTGTTGCAACACTTATTTATTTTAAGAAAATGCTGAAGAAAGTGGGTGCTTTCTTAAATATAGAACACAGATCCCTGCCTTAGATTAGCTCTTGAAAAATGCCATCATTACATGGCAAGAGCAGCAGCACCGAGGGATGTCGCTGAGGCCAGCTGTCTCGGGTAGGGGAACTTCAGCAAATGCACCAAACAAAATCAAAACGAGAAGCCCAGGAAAGGGAGGTCAGGACAACCTTCCTCCAAATGATAAAATTATTGCCCATCATCCACAGCTTACAGCTCCCTGACCACCATGAAACACTTGACCAATGCATTGCTTAGACAAAAAGACATCATCTCTTACCAGGTTTGGGGATGAGTCCTTGAAAAGGCCTGTAAAGAAATAAGGAAAAAAGGAGATTTAAAATGAGATGCCCTCAGGAAGCCAATGCACCTGGCCTGAGCATGCTCCTGCGGCCCAGAGACCAGCCCATCCCTCGCATGGGGTCCTTGTGGTCCCAGAGACACATGCCCTGTTCGGGGCAGCAGGCACCGCATCGGTCAGAAGAGAGATGGCATGGACCAGTGAGAGGGTGATGGAGCCACTCTTAAAACCAGCTTTTTTCCTGTCTCACTGTACAGTTATGAAGTGCCTTTCCCCTCTCCACTTGTGTCCATCCCTTTTGGCTGCAAAACCCACAGGATCCCCCACCAATGGCTCTCCACACACTGCAGGACTCTGAGCACCAGCAATAAACCCAGCAACGTTCCTCCTGTCTAAGGACTCCTAGAAAAGGGGCTGGGATGTCTCTGCCCACACAACCATCACATCAAGCACCATTTTCTCCCAACAGCACCTTCCTCACTACCTCCCTGGGCAGCAGACAGGAGGAAAGAGCAGGAGTCTGTTTTTATGGCCTCTTCCTTTCTGTCGAATCATTAGCTGCCAATTAATTTGCTGTCTCATGAACTGGAAGCATTTATAGTGTTTACAGCCCTGTCCCGATGGGGCTGGCAGGGCTGAAGGTGCATTTAGGTTGGCTTCCTCCTCTCCCCTTCCTGCTTGCCAGGGCAGCCAACACCTCTCGTACCTCGTCACGGTGAACTTGATTTTGTCGGCGACGGCCAATATCCTCTCCAGGTTCTGTGAGCCGAAGGTGCACGGCTTCCTGAACGGGATCCCAGGGGGCAGCCCCTCTATAATCACTGACCCTGGATTGCTCTTGATCCGCTTGTATGGCACTTGCACGGGGTACTTAATCCCCAAGGCCTCACCTGGGAGAGAGGCGAGCAGTAAGTGAGCAGTAAGTGCGAGGGAAAGCGCCTGGCAAGGAGGGATGGGGAGGAGAGGGGACGGATAGGGAGCAAAATATTAGGAGGGGATAAGGAGGGACTAAACCCAACTCCCACACCCTGGTTTCTCACCATATTTCTTATTGAACAGGTCCTGGACTTGTTCCCTCAGTGTGTTAGCAATGTCTATTCTGGAAAGCCTGGCATCATAATTTTCTGTAAAATAAAGAAACAATTATGGACTTCTGCTGGTAAATTAAAAGGCACTCTGTGACTTTTAAGTAATGCCATTTTCTAATTATAGGAAAGTCCTTATCTTGCAATTAGCTAATCTCTAGAGTAGGCCATTCAAAGTCCTTAAAAATAATCTAAACAGAAATATGTTTTTTCCCCGCCTGTTTGCTAAGAATAAAAGCTGCATGAAATCGAAGATTCAGTTGCGATAATTATCGACATTAAAATGAAATGTACTCCAAAGCCTCTCAGAAAATTCAAAGCCTTTGAAAAGCTCCCATCCCTCTCTGCACACCCGTGCAGGCCCCTGTGGCTGGAGGAACAGGTAGCACTTGCCCCTCAGCCCATGGGCATCTCTCCCCACCACTCCCTGCCCTGGCAGAGCCACCGTGCACCAGACAGGAATGGTGTTTGTACAAACAGCACTTGGGTGGAAAAAGCCCCAGAAAAGGCAAACTCTAAGGCTTGGAAGTCTTAATTATGTATTCCACAAGGTCAGACAGCAAAATAAGCAAAACTGGTTAATTAGGGCATGATCCAGAGCACTTCAAGCTTCTTCCTTGGACCTAAGGGACTGCCCGCACTGGCTGCACGTCTTGTCTTCTGGTTGTCTGTTCTTCCCATCCTTTCACCCCACCTCCTCCTCTCCTCTCCTCTGTCAACCCACCGAGCCCTGATGCCCCACAGTTGCTCCCTTCCCACCTCTGATTGCTCTATGCAGCCCCATAACAGGCCAGGGGCTCTGCCTCAAACCCCTCTCAGATGCCTCCAGGCTGTCACCTTGAAAGCCCTGTCTCTTCACAGCGTCCTCCAGCAGTGCCTCGCTCGAGTCCCTCTCGCTGGTGGCTGAGACAGGGGACATAAAAGGGATTAGGATTTGCAGTGCCACCAAGGAGGATGCACAGGAGGGGGTTTCCAGCCAAAAAACAAGGTGGGGAGGGAAGGTAAGAGCCGTGCTGTAGGAAAATGCTCTCACTCCTCTCCTACCTAGTTCTTAATGGCCCACCTGCCGGGCATCTCGCAGCCTACCTTTGGCTGCCGGGCTATTCGACGCTGTCTCCTTTACGCCCTCTGCCAGCAGCTCTGGCCTGGAAAACACGGAGAAGGAGAGGGCACGTGTGTGAGTCCCCTGGCCAGCGACAGCCCACTGCTCCAGCATCCCCATGGCCAATGCTCCCACAGCCACAACCCGCCAACCTGTCTGGCAAATGCAACTTTAAAGCTCCTGCAATGCAGCGGGGGAACTTTGGAAATAATTTTCATGCCAGCAGACTCTTTAGTGAGCCGACATGGTGCTTCTTGGGATGAGGTTAAGCTGGTGATGGCTGAGCAGCTTAAATCAGCAGCTACAGACTTCTAGGAGACACGGTCCTGCGTGTTTCTCGGGGATGGGAGAAGCCATGCACGGCTCCTTTCAACATACAATTGGCCTCAAAAATGGTCACTTGGGTATCTAATGCTGAAACTGCACAGCGAGGCGATAGCAGGGCTCATTATGAGCCGCACTGAAGGTGCACCACAGAGAAATGGGACCACCCCAAAGTGTGGTCAGGGTGGCCTGGGAGCTGCTGCTCTGACACCACAAAGCCGCTGTGCTTCCAACATTTATTTTCTGTTTCAGCCACACACCATGTTGTTTGCATCAGCTTTTACCTCTGCAAGAGAGGCCGAGTCAGCATTTGGCTGAGAAACCACCCAAAATATCTAAAGACATTTTTCAATCCATCTCTGCTGGATCTGTTCCTTCTTTCAGGGCAATGCTGTTGTGTCAGATGTAGTCATGGCTTCTTGTGGCAACCCCAGCTTCTGTGACACCCCCTGTATCCCAGCACAACAACAGCATCTTCCCCGATGCCCACAGCATCCCACTGAGGCACAGATGTGCAAATCTGGACCTTGACTGGAGCTGCATCCCCTAAGAAAACCCTCCAGGACTTCCAGCCCCTTGTCTGAGCACCCTGAAGGTTCAAGTCTCTGGCTCCTCTCACCAACCCTTGGGTGCTCCCTGCTGCTGTGGCCAAACCTTTGCAAAAGTGGCTTGAAGCCCCCAAAGACATTGAGATGACAACACCACTGCTGCCTCTCAGGGATGGCTCCAACAAGGCAACCCTTGGTTGCTTCTAAATAAGCAAACTGAAGGTGACCAAGTGATGGATGTTCCTCAGGACACTGCCCAGCATGCTTTCCAAGGGACAGCTGTTCCTCTTGCCTTACCTTTTAATGACAAACTGGATGTTATTGCTCGCTTGCAGAATCTTCTTCAGCTTCGCAATCCCGAAGCAGTTGGGGCGCCGCAGCAGGATGCCCTCTGGCAAGCCCACCACAAACAGGTCCTCGGGATACATCAGGAACTTGGAGTAGGGAACTTTGACCGGCTCTGATATTCCTATGGCTTTTGCTGTGCAGGAACCAAATCTCATTAGGTTGCTGGACCTCCCCATCGGGTCAAAGCAGCTGTGCCCCCAGTGCCTAATCCTGCCCAGCCCTTTTCCTTTCCTCCCCTCATGGTGGGCTCTCCCAGCTCAGCTGTGTCCCTGACTTTTGGGGACTGCCGGGCAGAGCTGCATTGCTTTGTACTACCAGCAGCAAAAACTTTCTGCCAGCTCTCAAAATGCACTTGTATTTTTTTTGCTGGGTTAAATAAACTTTCTAAAAAGGGGTGAGCAGAGCATGCAGAGTGCCAGCCCCCAGTGCCGGGATCCCACTAACTTTCCTAAGTGACATCATGACCACCTCGGGTGGCAAACCCTCTCTGAAATTCCAAACAAGTGATGGGGGGACCACTTTGGTCCTTCACTCTGCAGGAGGAAGGCTGAAGGTCAATTCCAGCAGCAATTCCTGGGCTGCAGCCAGTGAAAAGGCATCAAGGAAACCGAGGGGAAGTGCTGCAATAACAGGGCCCAGAGAGATTTCAAATGCATTTGTAAGCCCAGCAGACAGCAAATGAACAAATTAAATTGCACCTTTACTCAGCTGCTTGTTTGGAAATGGTAGGTGACATTTCTGAGCAATTAGGAGCTCCCCACAGCAGAGGCCGGCACTCAGCATGATGAAGGTACATTAATGACCATCTTACCATATCTCATGTTGAACAAAATCTCAACTTGTTTCCTCAAATGACTTAAAACATCTCCTATACCATCTGAAAAAAAGAAAAAGAGACAAATGCTCTGGGGAAACAGCCGTTTCTGAGGCAAGCAACATGCAGCGCAGGTGAGCGGCCCTTGAGCTCTGGCAGAGCCAGCCATGTGCTTCTTGTGCTTCGCAAATCAGTGCCAGTCCTGCAGCAGCTGCCTCCAACCTCATCCCTGAGTGAGGCAGAGCAGTGAGGTACCTGCCACAGAGCTCTGCTAGCACCAACGAGATGAGAAAATAGGGGGAAAAGTAAACTGGGGCAAGAGAGGGGAGGATAGAGCCCAGGAACATGGTGGTGCCCCTCCATGCTGAGCTTTTTGGAGGCTGAATGCTTTGCTGATCACGTAGGAAGCCCACGAAACCCAACCCAAAATTCATCTGTGTTCATGCAAAAACTTGCAATGACGGGCGATGCTCAAAGTTCACTGTACACTCACCTGATCCCTCCATCGGCTTTTCTTCATGTCGCAACTCCTCGATGGGCCCCTTCTCTGTCCCTGCTGACAAAGAGGAGCATTAGCAGTGGTTGGCACCAGCAAAATCAGACCAGAGAAGCAGGAGTTCTCCGGATCCCCTGCAGTCACTCAATCGCCCCTTCCCCTTGCTCAGCTCTGAACCCACATCCCAACGCAGGCTGGGGCTGGCAGCACCATGCCAGGAGCTGCGTAAGCAGCACAAACCCTCTGTCTACACCCGAGAGGTCTGCCACCCTTTGGCGTGGGCTTCCTGGGAGAGGCGAGACCCAGTGCTTGGCACGAGCAAGGGCAGCCGCAGGGCTGGCATGAACCCCCCTGGTAAATCCCAGTTGTGAGCCGGGCAGAGGAGGCAGGGCTGGGAAGAGACTGGGAAGGAGTGGCGGTGCTGGAAAAGCCACCAGTTTGTCTACAAGAGCTCCCAGCTGGCCTGATTGAGGCCACGACTCTGGAAGCAGGTCCCAACTCCATTGCCTTGGCTCATAAATGGTATTTACTCATTTCTGACACACACACAAACTCCCATACCCCCACGCAGCCTCCTGGATGCTTTATTTCTGGTACCTGCTCCTGTTTCTGGGATGTAGTTCGACTCCTCTGAGGCCATGTGCGTGGGTACTGGGTCACGCATCTCATCCGAACCAGGCGATCGGTCTGTGGACAAAACCCGACGGGCAGCTTTTGTTTTGATGCTGAGGGGCATCATCCCCCTAAACAGGGTTCAGAAAGTCCTGGCCCATCAGCAAGGGCTGAGCGAAGGGCACCCTGCACCAGAAACTGCCCCGGGGGTACATCTGCCACCTTCCCTCATGGGACCACCCAAGACTCACCCCTGAAACACATCTGACCTCTCAGCCCGAGGGAAAAGAGCAGAAGTTTCTTCCTAACCTCCACAGAAGACAAGGAGCAAAAATAGTTCAAAATTATTCACTTGGCTTAATTCCATCTAGACATTCAATTTTGTCTTAAAAAGTTAATGCTGCTTGACTTAGCTACTCACTCCACCGTGGGAAAAACATTCCATTAACACTGACTTCTTGGGTTTCCCTTACGTAATCTGTATGCCCTCTTCATTTTAACATGCCTCCCCTAATGCTGGGCTCTCCAAAACCCTCAAAGAGCTATCCAAATTTAGCTTTAAATAAACCTTCAGCTAGTTCAAATACTTCAATCAGGTCACTCCTTAGTCATCACCTCAGAGGATAAATAATCCAAATTTCATCAATTTCTCCTCACAGGTGAGCAACTCTTTTCTGTTAATCCTTCTCCCTGCCCTCAGCTGTACTCCCTCTGATGAAACTCAATCTTCAAATAAAGTAAGAAAAGGTGGACTCTGGACTTGAAGCGTGATCTCTACCCAGCACCGCAGGAGAGAGAACACCTCCTCCTCCTCCTCCTCCTCCTCCTCTGCGCCTCCAGCTCGCCACGTATTAGCTTGCTTCCCTTCCATTAGTTGCCAAGTTGAAAATTAAAATGTTTGATCTACCACTACAGCTTGATCCTTCCCCTGTATAAACTACACATTAAATTCATTCTGTGGTAATCCTGGAATAACTTCCCAGATATCGCTGTACTAAGGGGATTGCTCTAGTTTGGGCGCAATGGAGATCACACCGGTGCGGCGGGGCTGGGTGTCACTGCTGTCCCCAGCATCACTTGCCCTGCACTTTAGGAGTCCTGCTGCTACCCTACATTAATTAAAGTTTGTAAAGCCCACTGAAAATGCAAAGTGCTACCTATGCACTCATTAAACCCTGAGGATCATCCTACCGTTTGCTACGCTGTCCAGGTCAAGTAACTGGAAAATGACTCTCCCAGATCCGTCCCCAAAAGCATCCAACTCATCTCCATCACCACCCAGCGCCTCTGACCTCTCCAGGCAGAAACGTGAAGAAATGCTTCAGTGTCACCCATTCCTACACACTTCTAGCACATGCTTAATAATAAACTTGTTCTTATGAACTCTTCATAACCAGGGTGTTTTTCTAAACTAAGGATCCCATAAAAAGCACACTGTGTCCTCCATGCCCACGTGTGAAGGAAAGCAGCAAAACTTTCTCCAGGGGAAAGACAACACAGAAAAGCAATGAGGAAGAAAAAAGAAACAAGAGCAAGCCCTGAAACACCCCGTAGTACCCCCAGGAAACCCACTGATTCACAACATCTTAAAATGACCTTAGGTGAAGAAAGACCAATCCACAGGCACAGGGGACATCCCGTGCTGGGAGATGCCCCTCAAATGCCTCTTCTCAAAGCAGCACGCTGAGAAGCCATGTGGCAGCCCTGCCAGCACAGAGGCCACTGCACCCTGGCTCCTACCTGGCACGGTGATCTGGATGATGTCCAGCTCGTCTGGCTCGATTTTGATCTGCCTGATCCCACCCAGCTCTCCCGAGGTACCTACCAGGAAAAGGCAAATCGTCAACAGGAACCAACAACGCTGTGTCTGCCCATCAATGCAGGCGGGGAAACAGTGGCTGGCCATGACTTCGGTGCCAGCTGAGCATCCCGCAGCAACGAGGCTTTGGCCAAGTCACTCAGTGTCATCCATCCCATGCCATGGAGGTACCTGAAGAACATCTGTGAGCGTGGCCTCTGCAAACAGCTTGGCTGTTGCCCTCGAACCAGTCGCTGGCCTTTGTTATGGGCTCAGCTCCTGGCTTTCTTCACTTAAAATATTTAACTGTGTCACCAACAGGCACTGGTGGGGACACAGGAGGAGGCAGATGGGAACCTGTGCTGGACCAGCCATCCCACAGAGGCTGCCCCAAGGAAGGTGCTGCCCATGGTACACATCCCAGCTGCCTCCTATATCCAGATAAATTTCCTCATTTAGGGTGAGACCAGGACCAGGTGGGGAGGAAAGGCTCAGCGTGGCGTTTCAATGGGTCCAAGCCCCTAAACCTGGGGAAAAGCATTTCCTTTTCATTTGTAGTGCTCAGAGCACCAACACTGCTGATCCCTCAGTGACCCAATAGCGGCAGCTTTCAGGGAGAAGGGAACTCAAGCATCACTTTTTAAGCATGTGCTTAAGTCTCGTTATTTCAACCACTTATGCACTTTTGGGACCTAGCTGGAAGGTCACAAGGTAAGACCCTTCATTTCTACATCTATGGAACGCGGACGAAATCCTGAGAGAACTGCCCTGTGCGGCAACCAGGTAACTTTAGAGGTAACTTCTTTAATGTCCCCCCCGCCCAGTGTCACTACTTTGCAAGAGAAAATGAATTATTCCTCACCTGGTTCACAGCTTTCAGAAACGTTACACTTCTCAGACCTGGGAGAGAAAGGCAGACAAGAGAGGTGGTCATGGAGCAACCAAAGGGAAAGCTTAAGACCCAGTGGTGCGTGTGGGACTGGTCCTGGCAGGAGGGAGAACCACTGCGGCCCCCTGCGATGGCAGGAGGGGTCCCCGGGGACACTGCACCCACGGTCCCGGCAGCGGCACAACATCCATAGCTGCAAGGGAAAGCCATGGTCTGTGGGTTTCCCTGTGCCCAAACCCTCGCTGGTCCTGCACCACCGCTGACGGCAGCCCTGCCTCTGGACACCGGTGGATGTAACCGCAGCACAGAGCTCCTGAGAGTGAGAGGGGTTTTAAGCTCGGATCCTGGTTGACTCCGTCCCTTTGCAGCAGAGAGCAGTGCATAAAGCGTCATTACAATGTGGTTACTCACGGAGCTAAAGCAAATAGGGAGAGAGGAAAAAAAGTCAATTGATTTGGTAAATATTTATTCTGCTCAAAGCTTTTCTCCTCTGAAAACTGGGCGCTATCCCAAACTTGCATCTACGGTTAACTTCACATGCTCAGGAATTTACCCAAGGTGTTCAGCATCCAAATGAGATTACTTTGCATTCTCAGGACGCGTTTGCTTTCTGTCTCTCTCTTTCTTAAACAGGAACAACCACAGCACTTTGGCAGTAAAAGACCCAAGGAACGGCACTGGAAAACGCACGCTGGTCCTTCACAGGGAAGGAAAACCCTTCTGAGCCCACACCACATCTCTGCTGGCTCAGAGGTGATGTTCAATAGCACTTCTTGCTCGCCGAAATCCACTCAGCAGAACAAACTACGGGCAATGTGAAGGAAGCCAGGAGTGATCTCGAAATACTCTTCCTAAATGTGGTATGGGTAAAAAGGATCTCTGGTCTAGAAATAACTGTATATACAACCTAGGAGCCTCGGAAGGGTTTTCAACTCTCCTTCTTCAGGTCAAAGTCAACCTTTTCCTAGTGAAATTTGGAATACAGGTTTCCCTGGGGTGTGCGCTCCCCCTCGCTCTTCTCCCTGGAGTACTTGGCACTGCCCTTTCCCTGGGGCTGGACTCTGACTCAGACAGATCACTGCTATGGAAATGCTCTGAGGTTTCTCATTTGCAGGAAAAAGAAGTGGGATTTGAATATCCTTTATTTTTTTCCTGCAGATAGGTGTTATCAGTGCATCGGGAGATTTTGGGAGATTTATGTTTACACCAAAGCAAAGCAGGCTGCACACCACCACTGCAGTTCATGATTCCCTGTTTAACCACAGGTGCATGTGAACCTGATTCAATCTGCACACAGACAGCGTAAATCAGGAACAATGCACCTCTATCTCTATCTCTACACAGCTAGGATACATTTGAAAGGGATCCCAGGATGATCTTCAGGTTGTGCCAGATTTACACCAGTGGAAGGTGGTTGGCCCAGCCCAGTGCAGTCCACGCCACAGCACCACCTGAGGAGAGTGATCTGAATCTGGCTGGGTACAAACCATCCCTAAGAAAAAAAAAATATCTACTTTTTCCCCATAGGGTCTTCTAAAATGGTTTTACTGTTCCATGTAACCCCTACCCGGGTCACAGCTGGAGCACAGTGGTAAGATGGGGGCGGTGCAGCACCAGTAAGGGCTGTGTGGAGACCGTGTGTCTCTGGCCATCCTCGGAGCTCTGCAGCAGCAAACCTCACCTCCCACCCACCAGCACACTCCCACGGACACGTGGCAGCTGGTTATCCCCTACTGCTGTGCAGACACCAGCACGGCATCCCTAATATCCTGTCCTTCCACGTTATTGTTTTCAGTCACGCCAATTGAACCGCACAGTGGGATCTTCTGTTGGAAAAATTAAAAGTGTCCTAATTGCAAATGTTAACAAATGAACGGGAAAATGAGAAGCCTGAGGCCAGGTTTCAGCCCCACAGTGTGTAGAAGCCAGTGGTGTCTGAAGCATCACCATTTCCCCTGGCATCCCCTGCGCAGCGGATGCTCTGCTGCTCCCCAAGTCTAAACGCCTCCAGATATGGACCGATTCAGCAAGGTGCAGAGAGCAAAAAATGGCTGAAGAACAGTTTTGCAGCTAAGCCTTAGCGGAGGCTTCTGGAGATGCGAGTTTAATTCGGCATTAAAACAGTGAAACACCTCCAGCTGGGTACCAGCCCAGCTGAGTTCCCACCACAGCCATCCCCAGCCAAGGCTCTCATCCAAGTCCCTTCATCACTAGGAAGCAAAACAGGCACTCATGGGGTGTGATACAGCAAAATGAAGCCTGGGAGGGAACGCGCTTAGTGTCCCACAGCACTGGGTCAGCAAAGCTGCGCAAGGGCCAACCCAGCCTTCTGGGGTAAAACCACCCTCAAGCCCTCCTTTGAAGCTGGAGATACCCAGAGGGCTGGGAGGCGAAGGTCAGCTCCATGGACTGGGCAGCTCAAGAGGTGCACAGCCTCGCCTGCCAGAACCAGTTACACTGCTGTAAGCTGCTCCTCTTATTTAAACTGACTTTAAAGCTAAATATTTGGGCTAAATATCTGATCAGCTGAAGCAAAAATAAACTGCCAGAACCAGTTACACTGCTGTAAGCTGAAGCAAAAATAGAAGAAACTGAGGCTATACTGAGAAAAATACCTTCAGGATCTCCCAGCATGGGCTCCATAGGCGCTGTCAGCATGTTACGGACCCGTCTAGCTCCTAGTACAGTTGTGCCAGAAACAG